GGGGAGCCCGAGCCACCGGAGAAGGAATGGAGATGATGTCATCTGTGGACGCACTTTCCCGTCGGTGACTACGAGGTTTGGACACTGCTCCCCCGACGCCCGGTGCTGCCCGTGCCGAGGGCTGGGCTGAGCCGTCCCCGTCGCAGCAGAGGGGGAGAAGTGGGTGCTTTTGGGACACAAGTCGCCTGTCCTGTGTCAGCAACCTGCTTTGGGGTGGGACGAATCCTGCCCTCAGGACTCGGCGTCCCTCTGCCAACATGAATCCCACCATCAGCGAGAGAGGTTTAAAGATCCTGAGGCTTTGAACTCTGCTGACAAACACTTCTAAAACTTTGGGCTGTGCAAGTTAAAAGACAAAGCAGACCAAGCCCCCTGCTCTATCTTTTGCTCTTCACGGTATCGGTTCAGTCTTTTACAGAAGTGAAGGGGCAGTGGAACCCAGCCCAAAGCAAAGCCACTGACTGGTGACCAAACGGTCTGCAGGGGTTCGGATTGCATCCACTAGTAATTACCCTGTGGTAATTAAGAGTACTCACCCTGGAGAGAAAACTCTGGAGAGACGGAGGGGAAAAAAAAGTTTCTTCCCCATTATCTAACAGCCACTCTCCTCTTTGCCACGAAGATCTCAGTTCTCCCAAGTTCAGCCTGGCTTCTCTGAGCCTCTCCAGAAAAGGAGCAGCCTCCCCCAGCAGAGACCACCCCCTGGCAAAGGTTCAGGACGGAGCTATCGGGGCTGTGAGAGGACAAAAGTTTCTGCGAATAATCCAGCAGATCGGGCTGGAAGTCAAACAGGAGCCCTGATGCAAGGTGATGGGAACGGCAGGCTGCGGGGCCGAGCCCGGGAGCCTCGCTGGCTCCTCCGGTCACACGCTTAAAAGGAATGGGAATCTGTGATGAGCTAAAGTGCAGTTTCAAACAGAGCGTGACTGTGACACAAAACCCCAGAGAGCCTTAAGTTGGCTTGGAGAGACCCTGAGCGTGCTCGCTGGGGGGACACAAGTGACGTTACGTAAACCAGTCACCGCGGGGCCTCAGGAGATGTTCTGCCTCGTGTCTGCTCATAAGCCGCAAACCCCAGACCTGCTGTTGAATCGGCCCCGCGCTCCATCCCGCGGCAGAGCTGAGCGTGGGGGAAACACCATTTTCATGGCAAAGCTCCGGGTTCAGCACAGACCTCGCTCGCCAGCATCCTCCCTTCTTCTGCCTGCTGGCCTCTGCTCGAGCTGCGCAAACACGTCAGCGTTTGGAGGGACTCTGGGCGTCGGATCTGAAACACTTTGTGCTTCCGTACGAGTGGCTGTTTGGCACCTCTGCTGCCAAGCAAAGCCAGACTAGAACTATGGCAACTTGTTCAAACTGACCTCTACAAAACAGTTAAAAATCACATGCCTCAAACTGCATCTCCTCATTACTCCTGAAACTTTTGCAGTCCCTAACGACTGGCACGAAAAAGTTTTCGCCTAATTCTGAACAACCCAGCACAGATGCCTCTTCCAGCCAGACAAGCGGGCACGGGGCTGAGCACCGCTGTGGGGTGTCTGCTCCACTTCAGGGGCTGGGATTCAGCGCGTGGGGTGAATGTTTCCTTCTCCAGCAGCAAGGTCTGACCCCAGATCAGTCGTCCTGGGAAGGCACAAACAAGGCAGCCCTGGCTGCGCGCTCCTCCCAAGCAAAGCTTGCCAAAACTGCCGTCGCCCTGAGAACTGCAGTGCCAAAGTCAAAAGCTTCTCAAGCACTTTCGAATGATCATCAAGGAATATTGCACAAGTGGAAAAAAAACCCCAAACCAGCAGTGAGCATCTTGCAAAACCAGCAGAGTTCAAATTTTAATTTTTTTTTAACATGGAAAATGTAACACTTTGAGGGGCAAAGGCATCAATCGCTTTGTAAGCTGTGCCTTTCTGCTGATTTCTTCAACACGCTTATCCCCCGAACTCCGGCCACAAGTGCTGTACACAGTTTATAAATCAACGATCTTCCACCACTGATTAACACAGCAGGAGGACGACCTGCCCCCAGGAGCATCCTCCAGCAGCTACTGGCATTTCACCAAGTTCAAAACCCCACACCTGAGACAGAAACACGGGAGGCTTCACCGCCCCCTTCGCAGGTAAATAAGTAACTTTTTTAACCCACTTTGGCAATCGGTGTTTTCCTATCGGCATCTACGCTCAGCGAGCTCTCCGGGTTCCGCTCCCCCCCGTGGCCC